AAGAACTTACCAAGGCCACCGGCCGAATGATCAGACCAGGCGCCTAGTCAACTGATCTAACTTTTAAAAACTAATCCGACCTGTCCCAACATTATAGCAGGCGTCCGGCGGCATCCATTCGGATGAAATTCGTCGCAGAGAGCAGCTCCCTTTTGGGTGGAACATTGTTCTATAAACTAATTACACGGCACCTATACGACTGTCCCAAAGGGCAACCACGTAGCCGTTTTTGAGACAAGGATAACTCTATCACTAACCAAACCAGTGGTAGCAGTTGACATCTGAGTCAGATGACCGCCTGTATTACTTGGGATAAATGCAGGGGGTACCTATTGAGTTAATAGCCAACAAACATTGGCGAATCAAGGGGTCTAGCCGGCCTACGCCGCCTGGTACCTCTACTTCTCAAACAAAAGTGACGGCGACTGAGTAACTCCAAAGTTAACTCATAGTCACTCCTTCAAATTTGGTATGGAACCTAAAAAGTTTGAGTCGTCCGCCTGTTTTATACAAACAAGGGCACTCGAACCCCTATTCCTACTGGATAACCTATTGAGTAAATAGCCAACAAACATTGGTAAATCAAGGGGTCTAGCCGGCCTACGCCGCCTGATACCTTTACTACTCAATCAAGATTGTGACGAAGACTAAGTAACTCCTATGTTAACTTAATAGTCACTCAAACTTAGTACTGAGCCTAAAAGGTACGAGTCGTCCACTTGTTTTTAATAAACAAAGGCTCTCAACCAATACTCTTGCTAGGTTAATAAATAACAAATTAGAGGCCAACATTGGCAATAAAGGGAAACAACCGGTACCCGCCGCTTGTTTTCCTACTTAAATTCCTTGGCTACTTGGTAATTCTATTTACTTGGTCAAATTGAATAAAGAGTTCGAATACCGATTGATTAAATGGCCGACTGATCATCTATCCTGGAAACAGACAACCAGTCGTCCAGGGGCATAGGCGGCATACTTACTATTTGTACCTGTCTTAACGTTCGGCCATACACAACAGTCTGTCTAGTGAGCAAATTTCAAATACTTAGACAAATTTGAACAAAAACAAAAAATTTGATTAAAATGAGCCGGCCATAAAAGACCAGCAGAATATTCAAAACCCCGTCCCCCTGGCCGGGTAATTACAAAGCAAACGGCACGCAGGCCGTGAAAAGAAAAAATATACTTAAAGCTTAAGAAGGGGGCAGTTCAGTATCAGCAGCAGCCGCCTGGTCAGCACTCTTCTTGCTGGACTCGGCCTTAGCTGCATCATCTTTTGATGCCTTACCCCCAAGTGGCACAAGCGCCACAACCGGCTTTTCCTCCTCCAACGCAACGTCCATCGCCTCTTCTTCAGCAGCCGCCAGGATCTGTTGATTATATATTTCCGAACACTGGCGGTACGTTCTTTCCCATGAGGCAAAGTCGGCACTGGGGAACAGTCGTTCCCAGGTCATGCGTTGGATTTGGGCGGAGTCTTCCACCATCTCCCGGACGAGCTCTTGTTTTTCTTGCTCGGCCTTGTCCGAGAGCTCTTGGGTAAGACTCTTCTCCTGGTTCACCAGGCGTTCTTTTACGTTAGCCAAAGATTTCTCCATGGCTTCGTAAGAGTGCATTTTCTGACGAAGGGGCTTCAGCTCGGCTTTAAGTTTGGTGACGGTCCCCTCCAGCTCGTCAACCTTCTTTTGGGCCGCCTCTAGCTGAGCCCGAACAGCGGCGGTCGCCTGCGCCTGATAATAAAGAAGATCAATGGTCAGTACTTCATTTTGGGCAATTTGAAACATTGCTTTATCACAGCTGGAGGCGGCCATAGCCTTTGCGGCCTTTACCTCTTTGTTTTTCCGATCAATCGGCTTGCGAAGGCTGTTGACTCGGAGCAGGGCCTAAGTACAAAGAAAAACAGGCGTCAGTTTCCAATCAAAAGGGTTAACAGGCGTCCTGGAACTTCAAAAGGGTATACCTCAGCTAGGATCCCCGAAATTCCATCGAGGTCAAGGGTGCCGGCACCCTTGACCGCCTCCCGGTCAGAGGGAGGAACTACTTTAACCATTGACTTGGCTACCTCAACCAAGTCAAGTCCCTGGGGGCCGGCTGCATTAAGCAGAAGGAAAAACAAGTTAGACCTAATCAAGAAGGAAGCAAGAGTGAGTTTTTACAAGCAAGGGTCCATACATCTAGGCGGCCCCGCTTGGGTTTTTGAAGAAGTGGCCGGCTGCTTCTCAGCCGCCACTGTTTTCCTGGAAGACCCAGGAGAGCTTGCAACGGTCGTCCTCCGGGCCTTGGGGTCCGGCTGTTGCGAGGAAGAAGCCCTTGGAGTGCCAGACTGAAAACAAAAAGAGTTAGTATATGCATAATACAACTTAAAGGGGAAGAGTTTTCAAAGCTTACCAAGGGTGCCTCCTTGCTGGGGGAGTCGGCGTACGACTGCTTCATTAGCGAAACCCGCAGCATGGCCGCCGCAGTCTTAGATGCCGTTATTTTACTCATGGCGTCGGCTGAAAGAAATAAACAGCAAAGTTAGTAAAAATCCCAAGTAAACAAGGCGTGAAAGAACAGAGTATTCGTCAGGCCGGCTACCTCTAGAGCACCGACTGCCGAGGCCACAGGCGGCCAAGAAGTACTCATCATAGAGCCACTTGAAGCTCGGGACGCAGTGTAGGGGTACTTGCTCTCGTACCCCTGAAGTAGAGTTCACCCTAGTCTCTACTTTGAAGAGTCCTTTGTCTAGGATCTCTCTTTTAGCCTTTGGGGGAACAGGCGGCATGCTGCGGCCGCCTGCAAGAAGAGGCGGATCCCTGTTCCACTTGTTAAATCGTTTGTTCAGCTCCGTGTCTGAACTCTCGATAATAAGGAAGGTGTTCCGCCAATCCTTCCATTTGTTTGCCTTACCTCTCGTCATGAGGTAACCCCTGTGGCTTGTTAGTTGATACCAGCCGGTACCTCCCGACTTAGGGGTCCGGCTGAGATAGTTCATGTGGGCGAAAGCCTCAAAACTTGGCTCCACCCCGTTCAGTTCGCACCCGGCCACATAGCCGAGTACGTTTACCCAAGAGTTGGGGGCTAACTGCCATAACCCCAGATCATACCCATCTAAAATCCGCTGAACGGCCGGATGTAATGGGAAGCGCAGACCAGCTTTGATGGCCGCCACATAGCAGCCAAAACAGCCGTCACCATAGCTGGTACCAGCCGGCCAGACGACAGTATCTTCTGGATCCGGCACAAACAGTAAATACTCCGGGCTCATTTTGTGGTTAGCAATAAAGCTCGCCACGTTGTCTCGCATGGTTGCGATCCGGCCCCGGGGCACCCTGCAGTAGTAGGGGGTGTTTTCCTCTCTGTAAGAGGCGGACGGCTCTGCCCAATTATCCCCCTTCTCCACTGCATGGGAACTTCTCGCCTCTTGTAGGCGGTTATGTTTTTCTTCTGAGTCAGAAGAACTATGGTCAGAAGAGCTGGAATCGGACTCGTCCCCTGACGAGTCCGAAGAGGACGACTCCTCCCCTCTCCTAGAGGGGCCCGCCTCCTCTCCCTTAGAAGGAGCAGAAGGTAAATTGGACATGTCCACGGTTAGATGAGAAGGGAACACCTTGGTCCCTCTCTCAGAACTGTCAGCTTGACAGTCGCCTCGTTCCACATCTGGCGCCTGGTCAGATGTTTCGCTAAGGAGTACCCTTTGGGAGGAGCCGTCTGAGTTTGATATTCTAGCAGTCTTTTTTGTTCTGGCCATCACGTTCTGCATAGACACAGATTCAGTCGGACTTTGTATAAAGGGCAAAGATGGGTCCAGAAAAGGGCAGGCGGCACTCCTAGTCCTAGATTCAGCCGTCCCCGGTGACCGGCTGATCACTAACTTAGGGCGTGTCGTGTGCTTCCATGGTGCCATTTCAAAAAATAAAAAGAAAATTAAGAGTAAGAGAACTGAGTTACCTGAACGGATGACAGTTGATGAAGTCCTGAAAGTTCGGGTCAGTCGGCTTGTCAGAACAGGCGGTAGGCAGAAAAAGTCCGAAAATGTCAGAGCAAGTTCAGGGGTCCGAATGTTCTCGCAAAAATTCTCAAATGTAAAAATGACCGAAGTCAGCACTTCCTTTTATAGGCAAAATGAGAAGGCGAAGGGTCGCTTCCGAATTCAAATTTGGGCGGGAGAATCTCCCGGCCGTCTGCAAGGTGACACCTGTAACGGGCCGTCGCCTGTCACCGTGCGACGCCTGTCACAGGCGACACGTGACCAGTCGCGTGCCACCTGTGAGGGGCAAATGATTAGGGGATTTTTATCCACCAAGCACCGTTTGACAAGTGGACCAACCAGGTTCCGCCACGTGTCCACCCATGCCAAATGGGACAACCGGCCATCAAGGCCCATTTCAGTCTAGAAGCCCGATCGGCCCTAGGTTTACCTTAAACCTAGAGAGTTGCACGCTTCCCAAGGCTATAAATACTCGATTAATCCTCATTAATCAAAAAACGGAACAGACCGAATACATTACGGAACACACTAATAACCGGCTGATCTCGCTAGCAAAGCAGATTACCTACATTAAATACTCTCACCTAGAGAGACCTTATTACTTTAATTTCTGTATTAATTACTCCTTAATCAGGTACTAACTTGACCGTTGGAGGCGGAGCTCTCAGGAGTCTCCGTTATTTTGCAGGTACAGGCGTCCGGTTCCAGTCTCGGAATTGTAACTCTCCCGCAGGACATCAGAAAACCCCGAAACAAGGTCCTTGAAGAGAGTGATTCTAGGAAGAGTAAAGAAGTTGAGAAGGTGAGTGATTCACTTGATGAGGATGAGCATGATGTGTCAAATAAAAACTGTTAGGATGCCAATGAGAAGGTCATATTGAAGAAAGCGTGCACAAGGATGTGATCAAACCCAAAATTCCCTATCCTCAAAAGTTCTTGAGGTGCAAGATTGATGATCAATTTGGAAGATTTCTTGACATGCTTAAGGAAATTCATCTTTCTATCCCTTTCACCGATGCTTTGGAAACATATGCCAAACTATTCTAAGTTCCTTAAGGAAATCTTGAGTGGAAAAAGTGAGTGTATTGAGGTTGACTCGGTGAAGATTGGGGAGTGTTGTAATGATCTTATCGATAATGACTTACCCAAGAAGATGAATGATCCGGGCAATTTTCCAATACCTTGCAACATCAATGGAAAAGTGTTTCAAAGTGCTCTTTGTGACCTTGGTGCTAGTGTTAGCATAATGCCATATTCTGTCTTCAAGAAGCTTAAGCTAGGTGAGCTCCTCCCAACCAATATGACCCTACAATTGGCCGACCGTTCTTTTAAGTTCCCCAAGGGTAGAATTAAGGATGTCCCCCTTAAGCTAGGAGAGTTCACTATCCCCGTTGACTTCATTATGCTAGAGATTGCGGAAGATGACAACATTCTTATCATTCTAGGGAGACCACTTCTAGAAAATTCGGGTGCCTTGATAGATGTGAAAGGTGGCATTATTACTTTGTGTGTTAGTAATGATTCGACTAGTTTCAAGCTTAAACCAATGCATGAATCTCTTTCTTTTGTGCAAGGAATTATGTGCATTAATTCGCTTCATTTGAATGATATTTCTTGCACTCTTTCATTGTCTACTAGTGATGTCATTGAAGTTTGTGACAATGTTTCTATAAGCATTACTAGCAAATTGGTTAGTGATGACAAGAAAGAGACCTCTAACTTTCTCTTTTCATTTTAATTTTCATTTCACTTTTCTTATCTTCTCTTTTCTTCACTTGCTTTTGTGTTTGTATTTTTAGGGTGTTTTCATGCGATTTTGATTCTTTTGATCGAGCATGAGAATCATTTGGGAGTGTTAGGTGTTTGTGATGAGAGTGCGCTCGATATTCTTTAAATTTTGAGCCATGTGAGAAAGGTAAATAGAATGAAGAATCGTAGAACAATGTTTTAAGAGGGAGTAAGAGGAAAAACAGGGGTGCGTGGGCATGAAGAAGGAGTGTGCGGGCGCTCCAAAGAAATGCCGAGAGCAAATCAGCAGCGCGACCCACGCGCGAGCGCGCACGAGCCCAGGCCGAGCTATTTCCTCCTTTTTTCTTTCCTTTGTCCTCACTTCTTTTTCTTCTAACTCACGACACTCACTCATTCTCACTCTAAACTTCAATCCTTAACTCCCCAATCTTCCCAAACATCATCCTAATTCACAAATTTCCCACACAAATCCATCAATTCCCACACAATTCTCCTCAAATTAACCATTTTCTATTCTACTACTCACCTTTTCTTCTTCTTCAAGCTTCAATCTCCATTGAAAGCAAATTGGGGATTTTCAAATTTTTGTGAATTGGTGCTCCAAACTTGGTTAATTTTGCTTCTTGTATGGTATACTCATCTTATCTACTCTTATGATTGCTTGATTTATCATATTTGGATGAGAATTTGATTGTTTCATACTTGTGAGTACTTATGGTTGTTGTTTACTAATCTTTTATGCTTAACATTTGTTGTTGTTGATTGTTTAGCATTATTGTTCATCTTTGGTGAAATTTTGGTGAAGTTTGGAAGTGGGTCTCTTTGTTGATTGCTTGTGGTGGTAGTATTGTGGTGATTGGTGATATTGGTGTTGGTGGTGCTTGTGGTTGATAAATTGAGTTGTTTGGTGTTCATCTTTGTGGATAAACCATGTCAAGAGTCTTGGGATCATTGACTTCCAAAAGGAGGAAGGGGAAGGAGCCTCAACAAACCCCTCAAACACAAGCCTCCAATGAACCCTTACCTCTACCAACTCTAAAATTCCAAAGCCCACTACACAAATCAATATACAACGACCTTAAAAAGAGAATCATAAGACCTTCTTGCCATTATCGTAGTAGAGACGTGATCAAATTAGACATCAACGAGGATTTGTGGTTGCTTTTTGAGAACCTTCGGTAGGCGTTTTTGTAAACTTCGCATACCGAACCTATCTTTAGCCTACAAGGGAGTTTCTAGCTTCCTTCTCTACCACACCAGTTGGTGACGCCAATTTCGAGATTACCTTCCAACTTTTCAATGGTCCCCATACTCTTTCACTCCGGGAATTCAATGAAGCTCTTGACTTCAACCCTGATGTCGATCTCCTTTTCCCCGAGTATGAACACTTCAATGGTTATGCGGAGTACGCATGATGGAACGTGATTTCGGGGAAGGAGCAATTCACTGCTCGTTACTCTTTGGCAAGTGATGTTTTCCAACCATGTCTTCGGGTGTTACATAGGATTTGGGTACTCGGTTTTCCCCAAGCAAGATTTAGGAAAGATGTCGAAGCTTGAGTTGGTGGTACTTTGGCTAGCCACTAGAGAAGAGTGGCGAGGGAGGTTGAACATGGGACATTCATGAGGAGTTTTGTATCAATGGTGGGAGGAAGGAAAACGGGTGAGATTACTTGTGGAAGTATGGTCACTCGGCTAGCTTCAAGCTTTGGGTAGGACCGCTATCTTGCCTCATGCACTCTGGTGGGCGATGCTAATGATATCTACCTCGACATCCCTCAACTTAAGCAAGTGAATTTCATTGCAAAGAATAACAATGATGAGGTAGTCGATTGGTTAGTAAGGAATTAACACCGGTGTTATCTCCCAAACCCTTCCTTGACTTCCTTGCAATGAGATGCAACGAATGTTTGGTTTGTGCCCTTGAGCAATCGGTTACCGAGTGATGAGGAGGAGGATGAGTATGGTGATGATGGTGATGGTGGTGAACAACAACAACATCAACAACAACAACATCAAGGCTCCAACCAAGATTTGGAGGCTTTGCAAGCACAAACAACGAGCTTGCAACTTGGCTTGCAAGGCATGTTCGAGCAAGATTTTGCGGCCATGCAGACTCAAATGAAGAGCATGCAAGTTGGTATGCGAGGGCTCATGGAGATGCAACAAGGTATGTTTTTCCAACAACAAGCATTGTTTGATGCGAGCGTCAACTGAGGCGAAATTACCTCCGCGGTTAATTATCCATATTTTCCGCCACAACACGGTCCCGTCCATCTTGGGGGGGTGATGGTAAGCCTACATATCCATTTTGGCAAGGTCCGCAAGGACCTAGTACCGAGTTGCGCTCTTTTTCGGATGAGCACGGTAACTATGATTACCATGTGCTCTGTGGGAGCGACTACAGAGGGGGATCCTAACTACCCCTATGTCGATCCCACTCATCCCGCCCCCTTAAGTTGCCCCCGCAATATACTCCCTTGACCTCTTGGCAATAAGAGAACTTTCGAGGTCATTATGGTTGGCCACCCGGTTACACCGGGGGATGGGATCCTTATGGACCCCCGTCCGGCTTTTCCTATGATAAGGAGGATGATGACGGTGGGGCCAGGCCTAGTGGCCAATAGTCCCCTATTTGTGCTATTTCCTCCGTCCCATTATTATGTGATCATTTGCTTTGTATGATGGGATGTTGAGATGATCTCTTTCAAGCTTGGGGGGACTTATTATTCTTTGTTTATGGAGTGGTGTGGGTGTCTTAAGCGTGTTTGTTATGGATATGATTGTTGCCTTCTCGCTTTGTTGTGCATGTGCCTTTTTTTCACCCTTGAGGATGTTGTTGGTTGTTGTTTTGATGATGATAATTCTTGATGATTCTTGTTGTTTTTATTTTTGATGATTTTTTATGATGTTTCTCGATGATGATTCTTAGTTTTTTATTAATTTTTGATGATGACTTGAATAATGATGATTGTGCTCCTTTTCAATCCAAATCCCATGAATCCAAATCCCTAAATCCAAATTCTTTGTAGTTAGTGTATAGTTTTATTTTGTTGCTTTTGTTTTGAAGTTACTAACATTTTTCTTTGTGTATAGCCTATTTTCTTTCTCATATTGCCATGTAGTTCTTGCTATGCTTCTTGGAGCAACATGGAGGTGTAAGCTTCTCTATGCTTCTTATATAAAGTCTAGCTTGGATCACTTGGTGAGATCTTTCTATATTACCCTCTTTATTTTCTTTATTGTTTGCTTAAATTAGGATTAGGTTAAGAAGAGTTGAACGGTTCGAGGATGTTTGCTACCAACACTGTAAGGGTGTTTAGGGTCATTTGTGTTATAGTCGAATGACCACTTATTTGACGATTGGGATTTATATGATTTTGCATGCATCTTTGTGCTTTTCTTTTGCTTTCCCTCTTCTTTTCCTTTTCTTCTCCTTTCCTTTTTTTCCCTTTTCTTTTCTTTTCTCTTTTTATTTCCTTTGAAAATAAAATAAAATCCAAAAAGGATATTTGGGCATTGTTTTCTTTTGTTTTGTTGCATTCGCTTATGATTTGGACATAATACCATTTGAACTTGTACTTTTGAATAAATGACTTCCTACATGGTATCCGTATGTATGGTTTGAGAATATGCTTGGTTGATTCTAGGATACAGTATACTAAGGTAGTTTGTTTAGAACTTTTGGGACCTTGAAGCCCTAGTCTACTTGTTTGTGGTAAGAAGGTGTTGTTTCCTATAGTGGAAAGCTAATAGTGAGTTTTTGCCATAACCATGTGAGGTTTCATTTCTTCAAGCCTTCTACCTATTTTGCATGAGCGGCACATAGATCCTTGAATATCGCTTACTTTATCTAGAACTTGACTTTTATCTCTTGAGATCACGACCAAACCATTTTGGAAGAACAAAGGCATCTTTTCGGGGTGGTAATTTTTCCTTTGCTAGGATTAGTTTTATATTTTTGGTTTTGGGTTTATATTTGCCTTCTTGCTAACCATTTGAGCCTTATACCTTCTTTTCTTGCCATATTATTAGCTTTTGAGCCATTTGTTTCATTTTTGTTTCCATTTTTAGTTTTTGTGAAGCAATTGGTCCTTATTTTGTTGGTGATTATGGTGTATAAGTGTGGATATTTGGTTCTTTTGATGAAAGCAAGTTTGTATTGTGTATATTGCATGAATCAAGGCAAAATGCAAGTTGAAAAAGCCGTCCATAGTTAAACGAGGCGAGGACATAGCAATAAAGAAAAAAAAACAAGTGATAAATGAAAAACACAAAAATATTTTGATGTAAGTGTGCTCTCCCTAGTTTAGAGCATTGAGGACAATGCTCCATTTCAGCTTGGGAGGAAGCGGTCTTACGCTTTTTGTATATATGTTTGTGATTTTTTATTTGAATAAGCTTGGGGGTGTTGGTGTTTTTGTTCGGTAATTACTTGATTATGATGTTGAGGATTGATCACCCTTTGCTTCACAATTTAGGTTTACCACCAAATTTCAACTTTTAGCCTACCTTTACCTTTTTCGCCCATACGTCACAACCTTTTCCAAAACCTTTTGACCTTTATGGTTGAGTCACAAGTCGGTGGAGGGAGATGGGAGTCAAGCTTATGGAGCGGTTTGCATAGTCAAGATGTCGAATAACCCTAAAATTTCTTCTTTTCCGGTTCCTTCGAGGAATCATTGGGATGCTCACTAGAGGTGGATTTGAAGCTAGTAGGGAGAACGCGGTAAGATTGTTTGGGATGAAGGTGAATTGTGTCTTACTAATTCTCTATGCTTAGCGTAATTTTATGTTTCAATCAACCTCGGATATCTTGGAACTTGCATACCCTTATTTTTTTAGGAAGTTGTGCATTCATTTGTATTTGGTCATTTGCAAAGGTCCATTTCAAAAGCATTTGTATTCTTTTTCCTTTTTGATTTGATTTTTCCTTTTATGCTTTGCCTCGTTTTACTTTGAGAGTTATGGGTTAAGCTCTTTGGAAACC